CCGCATCACAAGGACACGTGTTGTGAAAGTTGTGCAAAAATGGTGTCGCTGCAGAAGGCCGCAACTTTTATCGTGTCAGAGGTGTGACATGAGAGCATTGGGCGTGTCAAAGGGCAGTGGCTTTTGCTTAGTGATTTACAACATTTATATCCCATCTTTCTTCTAAGGAGCTCACAAATGGCATACACGGTTCTCCCCCTCCTCACTTAATCCCCCAAATACACTGTGAGGTAGGTTAGGCAGAGAGGAGCTGACTGGACCAAGTGAGCTTCACAGCTGAAGGGTAATTTGGACCCTGGTCTCCCAGGTTCTAGTCAAGACACTCTAACCACTGACTTGGGGCAAGGCCTATTTTAGTCATAGTTTTGTTTTAAAAATAAAATGTGTAGGGTGCGTGGCTAGTTAAAGGAAAACTACAGTGGTACCTCGGATTACATACACTTCAGATTACATATGCTTCAGGTTACAGACTCTGCTAACCCAGAAATAGTACCTCGGGTTAAGAACTTTGCTTCAGGATGAGAACAGAAATCGGACTCCGGCGGTGCGGCAGCAGCAGGAGGCCCCATTAGCTAAAGTGGTGCTTCAGGTTAAGAACAGTTTCAGGTTAAGAACGGACCTCCGGAACGAATTAAGTACTTAACCCAAGGTACCACTGTAAAGAGATTCTGACGCTTTGGCCTTATTCAAAATAAACCGAGCTTTCACAAAGCTGGTGAATTTCAGGCTTTGTAAATTGGGTTTCTGACCTGAGCAGGTAGCAAACGTTAACTCTGTTGTGCTTTGTCGCTTAGCTATTACCATCCCTGTTCAGTGGGAATTACACATTTGACCTTACGAGCGTCGTCAAATGATTGCTTTGGTTTCCACTCCGTTTTCGAAATTTAGATCGCTGGCGTTCTTACTCCCTCCCAACCCCCGCCATGGATTTTCATTTGCACCGAAATCTCGCTCCTTTTAGTTTTGTTTCCTCGGCCCCTCCTTCCTAGCCTGTGCCTATATTGTTATAAGTGACCCCAGAAAGGGGAGGGTGGGGAATGATGCAGCAAAATGTACAAGGCAAAGACTGGGGTGTGGGTGGGAACGGATAAATGCGATTGCATAGAATTTGGGGAATCATCTGGTGTGTGGTTGCGGCAAGAGAAGCCCAACATCATTACGGGGTAGCGGCATAATTGTAGGTTTCCTAACAAGGATGGAATGGTGTGGGCCATCATTCTGCTATCAGAATTCGTGCTGACTACTTGGGTTCGTGAGAGCAGTAAGGCTTCTCTGATGCTGCTTACTATATACCTGCCATTCTGAAGCTACTCCAGCTTGGTAAGCTTTTTACTACTAATAATACTTTTTTTGGGGGGGGGACTTTGTAAAGAGCGAAAGAGCAATGAGTGTTTAAATGAATTTAAATAGGAAGAGTGTTAAGCTGGAGAACTAGATAACAGAATGCTGGTTAATACTACACGCCCTATTTAACATCCACTATTAAATCTACTTTCAAATGCATTTTTTTTAAAAAAAGTGTGCACTTGAACAAACCCACTGTGGCACAGCGTTCTTTCTACAATAAAAACGATACTTGCAAGCCCACAGAGAAACAGACCCAACGTGTCTAAAGTTTAATCTACATCTACCTTTTAAGTATTGACACAAAGCATTTTGAGGGCTTAGGGAAAGTGCTGTGCGGATATTAATATAATGCCAAAGCAAACTTCTCCTGATTTCACAGAAAATACCTAATTGCCTATTTATTTATTTATTTTTAAAAAAGTTAGCAGAGATTTTTCACTCTACCTCCCTTCAAAAGTATTAGGCAGCTGAGGGCACTAACAACGCCCTCTCAACAAGAAACAATTTATACATAGTGTTTAACATATAAATCTCTCATTTTCTTCTGCTATTGCAAAAATGTGTGTCTTTTAGCTGAATTAAAACGAATTTCTTTTTTTAAGAATATGCAAACTGTTCTGCCTGCAATTAACATTTTTGCCACAGGATGGCGCGTGATCAGGCGAGGGCGGGGAGCAGTTTTAGATGCAAGCGGAATACAGTACTCGCACGAGGGATGAAAGATCAGGTTCCCTTCGGGTTTTTCTTTTTAACCGAGAGGAATAAAAATTTAACCCGCATTACTCCCCTCCCCTAAGCAATATAATACAATACAAATTCAAAAACTGTCAAGGCAGCACTGGGTTTGTTGCAAAAGAGGCAAATGAGCTACATCGTCATCACCATTATTACTATTTATTTGCTTGAGAGTCGCGTCTGAGACACCTCTATTATAAGAAAGACATCGGAATAGGGAAAATGCAGCCAATTGCACTTGTGAGATGCTCTAAGGTTCAGATTTCAGAGCCCAGATGAGCTGTAAATGGAAAGGAACCAACTAAAAGGGTGATCAGCCATGGAGGCGACCCGGTTGTGGTGTCCCCCCCCCCCCTCTATATGCTAGACCATGGGTAGGCAAACTAAGGCCCGGGGGCCGGATCCAGCCCAATCGCCTTCTAAATCCCTCCCGCGGACGGTCCGGGAATCAGCATGTTTTTTTACATGAGTAGAATGTGTCCTTTTCTTTAACATGCATCTCTGGGTTACTTGTGGGGCCTGCCTGGTGTTGTTACATGAGCGGAATGTGTGCTTTTATTTAAAACTCATCTCTGGGTTGTTTGTGGGGCATAGGAATTCGTTCATCCCCCCCCCCCATATAGTCCAGCCCCCCACAAGGTCTGAGGGACAGCGGACCGGCCCCCTGCTGAACAAGTTCGCTGGCCCCTGTGCTAGAGGTAGCCCAGCAACCTTCACCCCAGTTCAGCACGACCAATGGTCCGCGATGATGGTGGGCGATGACGGGAGGCCCAGGACCATCTAGAAAGCGGCCCCACACTGCCTACCCCCATCCCTGAGCTTAGGGCCTAAGGAAAACCCGCGCGAGAGGTTTGCAAGGAGTTGCTATCAGTTCGCTCCTTTAATAAAAGGCTTTTCAACGGAGAAATGCCGCCTTCCCGCTTCGAAAACAACAAACGTGTCTCCGCGTGGCGCCTGCGCGTTGACTGCGGGGCCACAGGCCTCTTTTCTAAAAGGCGAGACTGAGGCAGCCGTGACTTTCCAGCGTTTGCTGGCCTCCAACTCCCAACAGTCCCGACCAGCATGATCAATGGACGGAGGGAATGGGAGCTGTAGTCCGGAAGCATTTGGAAAGCCCCATGTTCCATTGTTTTAAAGTTTACTTAGAGAGTATAGTACAGTACTTTGCCTGGGGTTTTTTTTTGGGGGGGGGGTTACTTCTATATGGGGGCTTGCTTTGCTAACCGACATTGACATATCGCTACCAGGGCGACCCCCAAAACCAGATTTTGGGATAAAATGGGCTGGGGGAATAGACAGTGGCGTTTTGCATGCCAAGGATGTCGTGTGCTCGCTTGCATCTATATGAGGATCGCCCAGTCCACCATCAACACCTGTCACTCTGGAAGCACTCGTTTAGTGCTCCCGCCGGCGACTATTGCTAATTCTAGGGGCACCACGTGGCGATCATGCAAACGGTTTGTGGCCGCTGGTCATTGACCGTATTAAAGATATTTGATTTGATTTGGTTTGTGGCCGCGTAGCCCTTCCGTGGGCAGAACACAGTTGGGTGGCTTTTGGCCTGTACAAAAAGCGGTTCCCTTGTACAGCTTTGCTTTGAAAGGCCCGTTGCAAAAGAAGTGCTGGAAATTTTGAGAGCGGTGTCTCCAAACCCCTCACGGCGCAATCCCACGCGCGTCTATTCAGAAGCCGGCCTCACTGGGCTCAAATGGCTTCCTAGGACACAAGCGCATAGGATCGCACGCAGCCTTAATCTGCTGTGATCCCGCCACGGAAGCGTTGTAATCCGGTGTTTTATGAGGACGGGTTCTCAAAACTCAAGCGCTGCAACAGGGTAGCGTCCCCCTCCACTTCCTTTAAATGAGGAGGATTGAAGGTTGAAATCCGAGGCAGCTCCATGGGAGATAAGAGGTGACTAATCTGCATTAGCAGACCTTGATTTAAGCTGCGAGTCAGCGCCTGCTGGGTCTGCTCTGAATGCCAAGGTTCAGCCTGCAACACGTGCGCGCGGGAGCGCGAGGATATGGCTCCTGAGCATATGCAGAGCGCCTGCCCCTTACTCGTGGGCAATTACCACCACCAGAACCTACACGCCCACAAAAGACTACGGGAAGAAGCTGCGGGACAAAGAGAACAAAGTCCAAACAAGAAGAAGTCGGTGGGAGCATCTGAAATACTGCAAACCAGCCGGATCTATAGAAGGAGGGAGTGTGTGCCTCTCCTAGGAGCCCACGGCGGCCTGCCCCCATTTATTGAACTCATCGTGGCTTTTGTCATTGTCATCTAAAGTGCACCCCCACCCCATGAATTGCTTCGCGGGTGTTCTGTGTGGATTTGACTCCGACTCCAGATGGAACCGGACCGTGTTTTACGAAGCCCGAATCGCCCACATGAAGTTTCCCAGCGGGCGGGTCGCGGAGAGGATATAAACAGTGGCGGCGGCGGCAGCGTCGAGACGCGCACTCGCCTCTGGCACAAAACCGGCAGCCGCTCGCTCTGTCCCGTTTGGCAAATCTCCCCCTTCCTGCAGACCTCTCACTCTCTCTTTCCGCGGCGGAGCAACTTTCCACTTGCGCAGCGGAGAGCGCGCGCGCGCAAGTTTTCCATCCAAGTAGCTGCCGCCTAACTCATTCATTCTTATCGGCGCATCTTTCCGCCACTAATTCAGAAAAATTAAGTTGGGAGTGTATGTGAGTGCGGGGGGTGGGAAGTGGGATAGAATCCGGCTTGGTGAATGCAGCTCTTTTCCGATTGGCCCGTTAGGAGCTGCCCAGAAGAGAGAGCGGGGGGAGGGGGCGCTTAGACGGCTATCTGATCTGCTCCCCGTGTGTGCGCTTGTGTGTTTTCTTTTTTCCGAAGTTGAAGTTTCCGGAAGGACTCCCAAAAAGGCAGTCGGGGAGGAGCCCCGCCGTTGCCGGATGCTCGCCTTTTTAGGAATGGGGCTCAGCAACCGGAATATCCCTCTCCCGGGGGCTGCAGAAAGCGATCTCTGGTGGTCCCCCACGCCGCAGCCCCTTCCCCACGCCGATGGCCACGTGCGCCGGAGATCCGGCTCGAAATTGGCAGCCACGCCGCGGCTCCGCTGCCCCTGCCATGCTATGCCCAAGTTTGCCGCTTCTTCTGCACGGTATAGAAAGAAAGCAGGGGCGGGGATGCAGCCACTCCAGGCGCGCCATGCTAATTTCCCATGTGACGAGCCTCCCCGGCCGCCCTTCCCCGTTCCTCAGTCCTTATATGGGCAGTGACGTAGCGGGCATTCACGGCCTCCCAATAAATACTTAGAGCAAGACTTTCCATCTACCGAGAGCTGCAATTGATTAAAACGGGCTCTGCAAGGGACACCGACTGTTACAACAACATTTACAGCAACTCCCGGGGCTTTGAAACAGAGCAGTTATCAGAGGGAGGCAGAGCAAGAGCCTCTCTTTAGATATAGGATTTAAACAAAACAAAACCAAACCAAATCTATCTACTGGAGGAGAATCGACCCTTTCCCCTTTCCCTGCACAATAATTACACCACGGGCAAGGCAGGGCAGTTTCCATTGTCTGTGGACCAAATGATGACCGCCAAGACGGTAGACAAAATCCCAGTCAGTCTGAGTGGGCTTGTGCACCACCTCCCTGAAAGCATTTACTCAGTGGAGGACATCGCCACTACCCTGCCAGGATCAGTGATCAACTTTCCTAATGGTGACTTGGGAGGACCCTTTGACCAGCTGAGCGGTGTGACAGGAGGTAAGGCATCCCCCCCCCCCCGCGAGCCCCTTCCCAAAACGACCTTTTTGGATCCGGATCTTGGGCTTTTGGTGGTGGGCAAGAGTATTTTTTGTGGGAGGGGTGGGAGCAGGAGGGGCAGCACTTTGAGTTTGGGGCTGATGTTTCAGTGGAAGGAAAACTGGGTCTCTGTGCATGTGCAAACAGGTGTCAAGGGGCAGGGTGATGCTGGAAGCTGCAAACCTCGACCCCTGGAGAAATCCCACTGACTTAACTGGAGTTTTCAAGAGTGGAAAAGGACGGGTTTTTTTGGGGGGGGGGGTTAGTGTGTTAAATTGGAACTCGCATCCTGAAACTGGAAGAGATTCCCTAACCTTGAGAAGAGCTACACTAAATAAACTGCCCACAGTTAGTAACAGACATTTATATAGGGCCGACAGAACTGTATTTAATCGGGGGTAACCTAACTGTGTGACTAACTGCACAAGACGCCCACTGAGAGCGCTGGAGTCGGTTTTACTGTCAAGAGCAGCGAAAAGGATAATTTGGGGATTCCCGTTCATATCAGTGGGATTAAGGTTGTGTGTTTTGGGGTAACTCACCCCCCCAAAAAAGTGCAAATGGGGTTTGTGGGTTGCAGTGAAAGTGAATGTAGTGTGTGAAAGTGAAATGTGTCTAATCTGGGATTTCGGTCGATAGAAAACCCCTTCCGCCCCACTCCTACCCCTTGCGCGGGAATGTCTGCTCAATCCAAGCCACCAAAGTTAGGGCTGACGAACTTTCAAACGTGGCGCAGACTGCGCCGCTTGAAAGGCGCTCTCCCCTCGGGGAAATCGACGCCCCCAGTCTCCCACCCCCACCGATCCGTGAGCAAGAGGCCCCCGTGTTGTGTCTGCGTGGGCATGGAACGGATACTGATGCTCACTTGCCCTGGCAGGGAGAAGACGCTGCCCGGGCGCTGCTTGGCCCGCGGGCCCTCGAGGAGAGCCGCGGGGCCCCCGGTGCTGACCCGCCTTTCTCTCCCCTCCACCCTCCAGATCATGGCCTGATCGACATGAGCGACAAACGGTCCCTGGAGCTGCCGTACCCCTGCAGCGGCTTCGCGCCGCCTTCGCGCGGCCAGCCCTTCACCTACATGGGCAAGTTCTCCATCGACCCGGCGCAGTACCCCGGCGCAGGCTGCTATCCGGCCGACGGCATCCTCAACTTGGTCAGCGCCGGCATCCTGCAGGGGGTAGCTGCCCCCTCGTCGTCGTCGTCCGCCGTCGCCTCGTCCTCCTCCGCCCCCTCGTCGTCTTCGGTCACTTCGTCGTCCGCCGCCTCGTCGGGATCTCCCAACCCGCTGGGCTGCGCCATGGCGCCCACCGCCGGAGACTTGGAGCACATGTACTCGCCGCCCCCGCCGCCCTACTCCGCCTGCGGGGAGCTTTTCCAGCCGCAACAGCACCACCACCACTCCCAGCAGCAGCAGCAGGCGCATCCGGACGGCTCTTCGGCTTTCCTGGCCGCCTCCTCGGGGCCCTACCCTCCGCCCCCTTCGTACCACCACTCCCCCAAGGCGGGGACGCCATCCGGCGCCGACGGCGGCGGCCTCTTCTCCATGATCCAGGACTACCCGAGCTTCTTCCCGCCGCCGCCGCCGCCCCCGCCGTGCAGCCAGCGCGACCTCCACGGCGCCGCCGTCGAGCGGAAGCCGTTCTCGTGCCCGCTGGACTCGGTGCGCGTCCCGCCTCCGCTCACGCCCCTCTCCACCATCCGCAGCTTCAGCCTGGGCGCGCCCCCTGGCGGCTTGGGCGACGGCCCGGCGTCGGGGCCCGCGGCCCGCTTCGCGCCCGGCGCCTACGGCAGCCCGGCCCACTTGCCCTTGCGCCCTATCCTGCGCCCGCGGAAGTACCCGAACCGTCCCAGCAAGACGCCCGTGCACGAGCGGCCTTACCCGTGCCCGGCCGAGGGCTGCGACCGGCGCTTCTCGCGCTCCGACGAGCTGACGCGCCACATCCGCATCCACACGGGCCACAAGCCCTTCCAGTGCCGCATCTGCATGCGCAACTTCAGCCGCAGCGACCACCTCACCACGCACATCCGCACGCACACGGGAGAAAAGCCCTTCGCCTGCGACTTCTGCGGGAGGAAGTTCGCCCGCAGCGACGAGAGGAAGCGCCACACCAAGATCCACCTGCGCCAGAAGGAGCGCAAAGGCGCCAACGCGGCCTCCGGCCCGGGATCGGCCTCCGCCTCGGGCCCCGGTGCGCCTCCGCCCGGCTCCATGTGCTCCGGCGGTGGCAGCGGCGCCACTCTAACCTCGTGTGCCTCTCGGACCCGGACGCCCTGATCCTGAAGCCTCTGGGCCCTCTTTTGGCCACGGACTCGCGTTGCGCGTGAGGGGGCCTCGCCGCCTCCTGCGATCCGCCCGTCCCGCCGTCGGTGGGCAGCGTCCGGCAGGTAACCGGTAAAGGATCGCCCGCTCTCCACGCCTCGTGCTTGTTGGAGCGGGCTGCTGGACAAACCGCAGGAAGCGATCGGGTCAGGCTGGACTTGGAGAAGCGCCCCTTCTTAGCACAGACCGGTACCTTTCCCGTGGGGAGAGTTGGGGAGGGGAGGGGAGGACTCTCACGTGCACTTTATAGCCCCCCAAGAGTCCAGCAGCAAGAATCCCTTGTTATTTGCCAAAGCCGCCCAATCCCTGCCCTCCTCACCCCTTCCGGCACGCACGCACCACGGCGTTGTTAAAGATGGAAACCTTTCTTGTTTCGTTTCGTTTTAACAGTCTAAATGCAACTAATTAAGCAGCGGCCCCCAAGCACTGTTTACTTGGAAAAGCATGCAAAACCAATGCGTCCCTGGATAAAACAGAAATGCAATGGGGACAGGGCAGGGGGACAGGAGGCAATGTCTGGCCTTAATAGTGGGGGTGGGGGAGGTACTTTCCAGATTTAAAATAACTGTTTCCTCCCCCTCCACTGTATATTTCCACCTTTTGTGGTCTGTATTCTTTTGAAAAGCAATGTGCACTGTTCTCCTCCCAGGGTGAGGAGGGTTAGAAGCGAGTGGACTGAATGGAGACTTATTTAACTTATTTCAAGGGGGACTGTACATACCTTCTCTGGTGTCTGGCTGCATGCAATCGTGTTGAACTGTCCTTGGTGCCTTGTTCTGGGGATGTAGGCAATGGTTCCGTGGCTGCATGGCGAATCGGTTGCCTTACTAATCACGGCACAGTGGGGTGGGATGGGAGGGAGAGAGATTTATCATCAGCTCCCTGGGTTTTAGTATAGCTGTATATTTCTGCCTATTAATATTTGGATTTTTTCATAGAAACTCTATTTTTGTATGCACTGGGTTTTCCTTTGTGACTTATTATTAAGTGTTGCTTTTGTAGAAAATAATATTTTGGTTCGTTGGTTCGTTGATTTGTTTTTTTAAAAACAGAAGGATCACAGGATGTGTATAATCTTTCTAGAGGGCTGACAGAGAAGCTGTTGGCTTCTGCACAATGGGTGAAATAGAAGCGATCCGCCTTAAAAAGGCACAACCACTAACTGGAGCCATCCCCCCAAGAAAGGTGGTTTTGTCATGAACATTGTGTAAATAAATGTTTTGTGCAAAGAAAAAACCTGTCCTGTTATTACTATGAAGCATCCCACACACTGAGCTACTTGTATATTACAGTCATGGGTACTGGAGAAGGGATGGAGGCAGGGAAGAGATTTCCAGCCCTACATTTGAGAATTCCCCTTCATAGACAAAAATTAAGCGACTGCCAGAAAAGTAGCTTAGTTCTTTAATGTTTCTATCCATTACCTCCTGGTTCTGCTTATACATTTTCTCTGTCAAACACGTCAAACATGAATGTCTTTGCCTTCATGTTAACCTGAATTTAAAGCTGGCTATGTTGATAATAGGATTCCCACTGTCTTCGGGTAGAATCTTGAATTCCCCATTCTAGGTTTGCTACCCAAGATCCCATGGAATCTATCGATCCACCTGTTAAAAAACGTTTATCACATCGTTCTAGTGTACATACGCAGGACTGCTTGCAGTGCCTAAAACTGCAATTCCTAAAAAGCGCTGTGGGACAACTGGAAAAGAAACAGGGTCAGCAGTTAAAGCATCATGAAAACATTGTGTGGAAAACCTGCTGGAAGAAAAATATGTTTAAAACCTAGTGAAAGTAAACAGTGAGGGAGGGTGGCCAACTGTGCCTCATGGGGCAAGGTATTCCTTCATTTTTCTGTCTTGTCCTGCTATATCGTCACTAGATCAAAAAACAAAATGATGAGATAGGCCTGAATTAGGGCTGTTATTTCTACAAGGCGATCCTTTTAAATCAGTGTCTAATGTTTTCAAATCTGCTCCCTTCAACTCCTGTGTATCAAGCAGACCTAATGTACTACCCAGCCAAAGTGATGCATTTTGTCCCATCAGCCTCAATGGGAAAAGTACAGGCCTGATTCTGTATATGTCTACTCATTGTATCCAGTGGGCCTTACAGGTAAGTGCAGTCACTATATGCAAATAGAAGAATTTCCCAGTGCCTGTGGAATTCCTTTACGCTTGTTCCCCCTAGCAAGTTTTCACCAGGGGTGGTGGTGGTGGTGATGATGATGATAGAAAGGGCATTGCTTTGAAATGGTGAGACTGAATAGTGCCACAGCCAAGTTTGTGCCATTGCACTTTCACACTTTCAGCTGTGTGTCCCTCCTAGCAATTTCGCCTGCTTGCAGCAAAGGTATTTGGTAGAAACATCCACACGGCTTGAGTGTTGATACCCCACACAGTATGGCCTGGATCTAAAGAACCATGAAACTTAATTTAGTGAGCCTGGAGATATGGTAGATATGGAAGCCGTTCCTATGCATGTTTACTCAGAAGTAAGCCCTATTGAGTGCAGTCAGGCTGTAGTGCAAACCTAACCATGTGTCCTCAGAAGTATGTCCCACTGATTTCAATGGCTCTCACTCTCAAGTAAATACACAGAAGAATGCAGCCTTCTAGGTCACTTGAGAATGTTTTGAAGTAGCAGGTTTGGCACAAGCCCATTCAAAGAAAAACGATCTGGTCCATTGGAAGCACTTTGTGAAAGCTCATGTTGTTCTTTGGAACGCAGCCTATGAAAGTTGGGTGTTCATTTCAGATCTTGCAGGTTAGGTGTGCACAACAGGTCTTTCCTGACTCGTGCAAAATTCGACCCAAGGTTCCGGAAGTGCACGAAATGGCAACATGCGCAAAGCTTCCTTGTCCTTTTTGCAAAGGAGTATGTGTAAACCAAATCCTTGAGCTGAGTAGCACTTGAGCCCTGAGGACTTCCCCACAAAGCAATAAATAGAAATGTTAATGCATTTTTGACTCATTACTGTTCCGTGATTTGAGGCATGCTAATTTAAGCAAGCTCAGGAAATAAATACCGCACCGACCAAGCATGGCCCACTTGGAGAAAGCTGCTGTGATGGGCAAGGAAAGGTGTCTGCAGCTTTGCAAAGAGAGCGCTTAAAGAGCATCATGCTTCACAGGAAAATGCCACTTTAAATAGGTCACGGGCTTAAATGCCTTTTTGCCAGATCCCTCTGTAAAGAATCTTGTCGTGGTGGAAACTCCTGATAACTCTGTGACCCATTCTCTGTCTTGGAAATAAATCCACGACATTAGCTTCGTGCTAACCTTTTTATTTGGCTGCCTGCCCACACGTATCTACTGTATGTGGGGCATTAGGCCAGCATTGGGTTGCGGTCAACATTGCAAGTTCTTGAAACCCCCTGGTTCTGCTGCTCCTCCGCAGTTGAAGGGGAGATGGGCCCAGAGAGAGCACTCAGGGGGAGGATCCCAAATGTGGTGTAAAGAAAAAGCACTCACTTTGGCCAAGCCAGAGGGAGAGAGGCAAGTGGCTATTAGTACACTGGTTGAACATGGGAATTTCAGAGTTTTGGTGCCACCCCTGAGTCCTATTACTGTGTTTTTGCTTTATCGGCAATGAAATCGTAGGAACTTTGCAAAACGCAGTGATATGAGAATGGCCAACACATGGCATTTATATTACTTGACTTCTTCGACACTTGATGGCTGGCCCCCAAATACATGAGCTGACCCCATTGAAAAGCCCTGACTTTGAGGCAAGGTGCAGAGATATGGAAGCTCTCTCTGTGGTCTTGGCTCTATGATGGCTCCTTTGCAAGTGCAAGTCTTCACTTGACCCTGCAGTCGTCGTGTGATTCCTATGTATGTATGTATGTGTGAGCCAGCCTTTTGGTCTTTTAACCAAGAGCGCTTTGAACAAAAAGAAAGATGAAGAGGACTAAGATAAAGGGAAAGAACAGGGCACGATAAACATTAGCAACTGTAGGGAACGTTTAGCTGGTCACAGGAAAGGGAAGGAGGCAATATGTCTTCAGTTGTTTCCACAAAATACGTTGTGGGCACCTGTCGCATCTAGGCAGGAATGCTATTCCACAGAACAGGGGAAGACACACTAAAAGTCCTGCTCTGAGTTACTGTGGAGGGGGCTTCTGGCAGTTGCAGGAGAGATTCCACCACAGACCACAGCAATCTACTCAGCGTATAAGGGATAAGAAGCAGAAGGGGGGGGCGTAACTGAACCAAGGGGAGTGGGAAAGAAAGGCAGAAAAGGGTTTGCATAGCCTTCTTGCAGGGAGACTTTTTTTAAGCAGGGCCACATTCAAAACAGTCCACACCTGCTGTCCTAGATCGTGTATGGCTTGCTATTTAAACAGCTCTACAGGTTGTGTGGCTTGTGGATTACGCCTTCAAAGTTTCTTTTGAAAACCTCTACCCCGGCTTGCAAAAACTTTGGATTCCACAGGCAGGAGGAAGAAACCGTCACATGCTTTCCTGTTTCATGTGTGTTAAATCCATTTGTTATGAAACACATTTACTCAAACTTAGCTGGTAATGTATGGTGTCCACTTTCCTGGTTAATGTAAAAGTTAGGCCAACTTAAGAATGGAGTTTTTAATAGTAACAACACTGGTTTAACAAGCAGCAGCTTTTCCCAGTAGTAGCAGTAATTTGCCAACCTGTACTTGTCTATGAACTATAGAAATCCTTCTAAGGTACAAATCATGGCATCACTGCCGATTTTATAGAGAAAGATCCTCTTCTGTCTATACAAATATTAGCCCAGGGGGTTTCTATTGCCCCACTTCACCCCCGCTGCTTCTAGGGGTCAGGGGACCCTCCAGAGCAGTTTTCAGTGAAGCTCAAAAGGGACTACAGTCAGACAGGTAAAATCGGCATACAGGGGCAGAACACTATGGATGAGTAGCAGCTCAGTCACAAGGCTAATTCTTTAGGCCACCCTCCAGATGCTGCTAGATTAGATTCCAACTCCCATCCATTCCAGCACATCATTATTTCAGCAATACTCACTTTTGCACCTCCTCCTCTCTCAGTACATCATGGAAAGAATCAGCCTTGGTTTAACACGGTCAGAGTTAGCTTAGCTGCTCCCTATGCTGCAACATTAAAGACCACCACTGTTTCAAAAGATTTAACACCTGATCACAATGGATGGAGGAAAAGCACCACAAAGGTGATACTGATACGAAGGCGGGAGTTTGGAGATTGCCGTAAGAATAGGAAACCCACCATCAATGAAGGGTTGCTTCTAAGATATTTGATACTGCACTTTCTCTTATGATCTTTGTGGAGGTTATGATCAAAACTCACAAGCATTAGTAAATTATACTTGAAATCCTTGTGTAATACACACCTTGACCTTGAAAACCCCCAAACTACTACCACCTTGTACATTGAAACAAATTATCCAAACATGAAAAGAGTTGCACAGAGGTTGAATGGGACTTAATGAAGCAAATAGACCAGTGGTTCACCAATAATTTTTTGTCATTTTTGCATGGTAATATCACAAATTTTATGGTCTGTTTTAGCGCAGTGCAGTTTTCAATATTTTGGCCTAAATCGGTTTTGAAATCACATTGCATAATGATTTTGACTCGGCAATACACAGCAATATATTACTCCTCACGCAAGGGAGAACAGGGCAGCTGATTGTAAGGCACCACTGAAATCACACAATGATCGCAGGCGATAATGCTGCTGATCTGAGCTGCCTTCCCTCACACTGACTGAAGCAAGGGGCAGCTGATCACCCTCACATCAATGCACTGTGGCACTACCTTCCCCTGGCACTGAGGCAGAGCAGCTTTTCTCAGTCAGCAGGAAAGCAGCACCGCCACAGTAGACATGCATCTTGTGCATTTTGGCTAGCTGCCACCACAGGCTGCCCCACTGAAGGCAGCCTGATGTACTCCCCCCCATTCCCACTCAACCATGACTATGACTGCTCTTTCCCTCATCCCCACACCTGATCTCCATTTTCAGACCTTGTGATATATTGGAATATTGTGATGTTTAGCTGCTGATATATCACAACATTGAAAGCCAGATATCACTCAGCCCTAGTCTTAATAGGAGCTACTCCACATTTTTGTTCAAAAAATTGCTTTGCGGAGGTAACTACCACAGAGTTATCAAATTTTTCAAAAGGGGTATTGAAAAATAGGGGGTCCTCAGTAATTAGCTTATTGGGAATCACTGAAATAGACTGATAGCCAAGATACCAGTATAACCTAGATCTTGTTGGACAACTGATATTAAGTTCAACAGGATTACATCGTTTTCCAGAAGTATAGACAGTATGCATCCAGAAAAGAAGCCCCCTCCCACCCTGTAATGACACTCATGCTATGGGGAGGAAAAGCCACAACACCAGTTTCCTCCTCTTTTAATAAAAGTTCTGTAAAATAACTCTAGAAATATTAAATGGGGCAAGTATATTACTTCACTACATGTCTACCCACAGGTATAGATCGTTATTTTTTCCCAAAAAAGCAGAGTGGTCAAGCCAGAATCTGCCTGCAACTCCCCCCCCCCAATTCTATTCTATACAAGACATGTGCCAGAAACTAAGACTATTACCACCAATTGCGAAAAACACCATCTGTTGTTGTTACATAATGCTATCCTTCCAGATACATAGGAATGAATCTTCCAGCAAAATCCACTAGGAAAAAAAGTGTCACCTTATGTTAAAGAATTGCACAACAGATAATCAGGAATTCTCAGTTTTTAATATCTAAAAATCATGTTTCTTAATACAATATTTCTCCCCCACAGGATAATCTCTAACCTGGCAGCATCCTTGCACAGGATGCAACCTGAATTTCAGTTATATACCGAACTGCTCTCTGCTCCACCCAATTTAGTATCATTCTTGGCTTTTCAGCACATTTTTTTCTCCCAAATCCACGCAGGAGAGAAGGAGCAGGACAACATCCTCATCAGTCTGAATTGACATGGGAACTGAAAAGTACTGGACCATTCATAGGGAAAGTTAACTAGCAAGCTTCAGGGAAGAATTCTTATTGCCTTAATTTTTTTCAGCTGTAGCAAAAGGGAAAAAATAGGGGGGTTTGCAGCCCAAAATTTATTTCTAAATTAAGCCAAGTAGTGTAGTAGTTGTTGTTTTTAACCAAACCTATTCTTCCATACCTTCACAGCAACTGGTAGGAATAAATACAATGGCACCTGACTGCTTTGCACGCACAGAATGGAGAGGAAGGCTCCGGATTTTGTAGTAGCTTCCTTGCAGGAAGAGCTGTGGAATACAGTATGTGTCCTGAGTGGATGATGGTTCCCCTCTCCGCTCCAAGCAGCTGAGACACACACACAACAAAGCAGCTCAGGCCACGTTCTTGGCCAGAAAAGAGGCAGTGCCCACCTTAAGTGTTCTCAGTTTGTATGCCAAGTAGGAGTTGGCTGTTGTGCTACTGGGAATTTGCCTGCGGGTGGGGAGGGCAACATCCACCCTTAAAAAATACCCTACTTCTATGTGTACCATTTGAAATGCGGGTTTGGAGTAGGTGCGGGACCTGTTTTCCTTCCTTAACTCTTCATTTAATGTCGCCTGCAGATCTGCCCCTCCACCTTAAGCCAGTGGAGTTGAGTTCTTCATGCTCTCTGAAATAACTGAACCAGAAGTAGCAGCAGATGCTGACTTATCTCCCTAAAACAAATCAAGACACCTCCCAATAAATGCCCTCGTGGAAGTAGGGCATTTTGTGTGGTGCAGCAGTAGGAAGGAAGGAAGCTGCAAGTTCAGAAGGGGGGGGGGGAGCCTCTGGCCAGGGAATGGACAGGACTCTTCCTATGGCTTTGCTCTCCCCAACCGCAGCCATCAGCACCTCCGGAAGCTAGAGTGTCGAGGGGCCTGGGGCGAGCTGGGCACTCCCTTCCCGGCGGGCATTGGGGACGAGAAAAGGGCTCGCATCTTTCCTCCGTCTAAACCGGATGGCGGGCAGCTCAGGCCAGGAGCATGGCGGGTCTGGGGATGGTCCTTCAAGGGGACACCTGGGGCCCCGGGTAGGGCTCTCCGCCGCACCAGAAATCCGCCGCCTGGGGCGTCTCGAGCAGCCACACCTCCTTGGGCAGCCCCGGAGGGTCGGCGGCGGGCGGAGGCAGGCTCTGCCCGTCCAGCAGGCGGAAGTAGTGGCAGTCCCGCCCGTGCTCCGGGTCGTAGGGCGGCGCGAGGATGTCGAGGAAGGCGGCGGGCCCGCCCACGGCGTCGATCTGGTGCAGGTTGTCGGTGTGCGGCGACAGCAGGCACGGCGCCGAGGCGGGCGTGTAGAGCTGGTGCGAGCGGAGCAGGGCGCGCCGGCGGGAGCGAGCAGGAGGGGGCTGCCCCGACGACGACGCCCCCGCGGAGGTGGCGCTTCCCGCCCCGGCTCCCCCGGCTCCGCCGTCGGGGGCGTCGAAGCAGGCGATGCGCAGCGTGCCGTAGAGCACCTTGAGCAGCCCGTCCATGCCCGGGTGGTCGTGCAGAGGGATGCAGGCGCCGGCGCGCAGCACGAAGACGCCCATGCTGAAGCTCTCCGTCTCGCAGATGTGCATGTAGCTTACGGGAGGCTGCGCCAGGCCCGGCACCGCCGACGGGCCCCGCGGGGACAGGCGCAGGTCCTCGGCCCGGACCTCGTTCAGCAGCTGCTGCAGGCGGTGCAGGTTCTCCGCGAAGCGAGGCCCGCTCCCGTCGCCGCCGCCGCCGCCGCTGTTGTTACCGCCCGGCGGGCGGAACGTGAGGCGGGCCTGCCGGGCCACCCGCTGGATCAGGGAGGCCATGTTGTCGCGGGGCATCGTGCCGCCGCCGCCGCTGCCTCCCCACAGCGGATGGTGCGAGGCTCTGCGCACGCGCCGCCTCGTCCGCTTTCCGCCTCCCGCTTCCCTTTCCCCCCTTTGGTCCCGCTAGGCATTATGGGGAGTGTAGTTCTCTTCCTCGACCGTTTCTCCCTGCGGAGTTTATTTTTTTCTTTTGCTTGAAACGCACCTACACGGGGATCCCTGTTTTTTTTAAAAAAAGGAAAGCTGAAGGGGACGGAGGGTTTTAATGGGGCAAAACTTGCCGGCCTTCTCCTTTCCTTTCTCTCGGAGAGACTACAATTCCCATGAGGCAGATGGGGCCGCGTGTCTGAAGAGTGTTTTCCTTCGGGGTGACAGGCCGCCTCCGTCAGCGGCTGGTAAACGGCATAACCTTCTGGCTTGGGCCGCAGGCGTCTTTGGGCTCCTGGAAAAAACGGTCACCCAGGAAACTTCTGTTTAGGAATGTTTACACGTTCTGGTTGCTGGCACACCATGTCCTCCTCAAAGAATTCTGGGTACTGTAGTTTGCTAAGGGTTGCTGGGAATTGTAACTCTGTGAAGGGTGAACTACAGCGCCCAGGATTCTTTGAGGGAAAGAATGTGTTTTAAAGGTGTACACAGCCTTGTTTTGAAGGACCTGGGGCAGATTTCTGGCAGACAGTTCCAGAGCTTGCCCCTCTCACCACACTCTAGGATATTTCTTTCATAAAGGACGCACACATCTTAAGTCAGAAAGAACACATGTATTTAAAACAACATTTAATAATGAAAAATGAACCATTTAAAATTAAAATTGGTACTGTGCCTTTCCAATATAGAAGAGTAGCATTATGATTCTACCTCTCACGACTTTTGCTTAAGGTGTAGGTTTCACTGAATTTTCATGACACAAATATTTTGTTTTCCGCACTTGTGTAGTTTAGCGTGAAATGCATTACTCTCTTCAGCTAGGTTAGCAAGAACATCATTTTTACAGTGGGCACAACTGACTTCAGGTCCTTCGTTTCACCTGTTGCCATTGACGTTAAATTAATGCCTAGTATTTACCTGAGAAGTAAGAATCAGTGCAGATCTATAGGACTGCTGCAGCAGTGAGTGGACCATTAAGGCTGCAATATGCTCAGCTGAAATAAATGTAAGAATGGTTGGGATCAGGTTGTAAATATTAAAATACTGAAAACTTGCTGGTACAATTTAATGCTTGACAGAGAAATGCTGTATATAGCAAACTTTGCATTAGTTTATTTGAGGAGATAATTAAGTTCCTAAGACTCCAAGCTGCATATCAGAACTAATATACTCACAGTTTTCTTCTTTGCCAGCACTCTCTGTCCTTCCTGCAGATTCAAATATTGTGTCATACAACAACTTCCTTATTTCTCCCTCTAAGCCCAGCCAGTCTCTTATATAACATCCACACCATATATTTATTTATTCACAGTATTTATAGCCCACTCTTCATTGAATGTTTTCAGTACCAGAGTGAGGAACTAAGTAATAAAAATAAACAAAAACAATATGCAAAAATTACAAAATCAAACAAACAGGTCCAAAAAACAACTTAACAATGTTGCCATAAGGTAAACAAGCAAAACCACAGCAACAAAATTAATATTTCCAATTTAACAAAATTCCTAGCTAAAAACAAACAAAACATTTATATAGATTAAATAACCAATGGCTTTAGCAACAGTCCCCCCCCCATCTTTCACCTATAGCAGCCCACTCTGTGTCAACAGACTCTTTCTTGCTTTTGAGTAATTTAACATCTTTCACCTCCATATATTCAAAGTACATGGCTCCCCCACAAAGAATTCTGGGAACTATATTTTGTTAAGAGGGCTGGGAATTGTAGCTCTGGGGCAAACTACAGTTTCCATTATTCTGGGGAAGCTATGTGCTTTAAATGGTGCAGATGTTACCCTAATTCTTTCATTCCCTCAATTCATCTTTGAATTAATGAAGAGCCTCTACCTTGGGGTGCACAGATCACACATCGAATCACAGAATTGTAGAGTTCGAAGGGATCATGAGGGTCATCTAATCCAACGCCCTGCAATGCACAAATCTCAACCAGATCAAACATGACAGATGGCCATCCAAGCTCTGCTTTAAAACCTCCAAGGAAGGAGAGTCCAGCACCTCCTGAGAGAGACTGTTCCACTGTCAAACAGCCCTTACCATCAGAAAGTTCTTCCTGATGTTTAGTCAGAATCTCTTTGTAACATGAATCCACTGTTTCAGGTCTTACCCCCCAGAGCAGGAGAAAACAAGCTTGCTCTACCCTCCATGATATTTGAAGATGGCTATCATATCTCTACTCAATCTCCTCTTTATCAGGCTCAACATAACCAATTCCCTCAACTGTTATTCATAAAGTTTGGTTCCCAGACCCTTTATCTTGGTCATTATTTCTGCCAGTTTTTCTATGCCGCCTCCCCTCCCCAGCCTTACACAACAATAATGTTTAGAGGATTTCCCCCTAAGCCTAATTGTCACATGTGTTTTGTGGGGGGTGATGGTTTTTGTTGGGATGGCAGCTGGGAAGCGAAGGGTTAACCCCGCTTCCTGTGCGCTGCTATCCTGATGAAAACCAGCTCCCCCCCCCACCCTTCCAAATGTGGAAATCAGACTTCTAAAAAGAGCTCCCATTGGCACTACTAGATTGAGTCTAGAAACTACTTTTTCTGTGGTTGGTTTGGCCTCTCTGTCAATAAATAACAGAGAAGAGGGAAGTAGGGGAGAAATCAAATACAGAGTCAGTTAATCATAGAAGAATGCATAGTGTGGAGATTTTGTGAGGGCTGAATGTATCCTTGGTGCAATATCTGTAAATTAAGAGAGTATATCTGGAAGATATACCACAACTTCAAAGATAACTCAGTCAGCTTGGAAACTCCCACACATGCATGTTATTATCTTACTTGTGACATACAGTACTTCCCGTATATCACAAGCATGCAATCCACACTTTGTTATCCTCTTCATTCATTGAGGATTTTAAACTGAAGTCACAATGAGTTGGCTATATTAAAACCATTCGCAATACGTACTGCTCTGGCAACCTGCACAGGAAAATGAGCTGACATAGAGAATCACAGGAGAACATTGTGATTGTGAGATCTTGGACTCTTTGTCTTGCCTTTAGTTTCAAAAGCCCTGTAAGATAATCATGTCCACCTCTAATAATTTAAAAGCTTTCCTGGATTAAAATTAAAACAGCAATAATTGATCGGGGGGTGGGAGGAGAGATTTTGATGGGGAGGGTGAGCAAGCAAGGTTCAAGGTTCTTGGACACATTCAAAATTAAACTGCCAAAAAGGGATTCTGGTGGGAGACGGACTATGACATTGTATAATTATACAAGTTGTATAAAAGTGCTTTAAATTTATAGGGAGAATAAAATAAGCCCTTAATTAGCAGCACATATCAGTTATAAATGCTTCACCCTTTAAAAACAAAACAGATACCTGGTGTGTTTACTTAATATATAGACCCACTTAAATATTTACAAAAAGTAATCAGAAACATGGCAGTGGGGGGGGGGGGCGCAGAGGCAAAAGTGGACAGAGCAATAAATGTGAATCTTACCTTTGTCTGGTAAGCTAGTTCCTTCACACTCACATATCCCTCTCTATCCTCCCAGCGAGCATGAAGTATTGGCAGAGTTCAAGGACTCCTTCAAGCCAGGCAAAAGCACTCAGCGATGGTGTGGCTCAGGGCTGGTGAGCGGTGTTGGCTCAAGAGGAGTTGTGACCTGGGAAGAATACCCAGAAACAGATAGAGAGGGCCACATTTGGGCCCCTGGGACTGAGATTTCCCATGCATGCCTTTGTGGCACTCCTGCAGTTGTTCAGTGAGGGCTACTAGTCTCTTGACCAACTGATTGCATATATTGGAACACTATAAAGAAGAGAAGCTATTCTTCTCGTGACCCTGCGCAATTGTTTAGGTCATTTGAGGAGGCCCTGCTACTTGTCCTCCCACCAGTTGTCAGGATCATGTAGCAGGAATTTCTCTGTTGCCTGTGCCTAGGTTGTGGAATACCCTGCCTTGGGAAAGTCATCTTTTTTTACTCCCTGATGGAAGTTCTGCATGAAGCTGAAGGCTCTATTGTTCTGCATAGGTGATTTTGATCTGGTTTTTGCCTGATTCCCCACTGCAAAACACAATCTTCTTTTGCTATTGCTGGGCTGATAACTGACACCACTACTGGACTTTATTTCAGACCTTCAGCTGCATGACATAGCCTAGAGTCATAAAGGCTAATCTGACCAATCAGATGACTCTCAATGATGACACAGTGGAGCATCAGTTGTTGCCACGGAAATACAATCAAACAGAGCATCACCCTTAAGGCAGCTTTGAGGTGGGGCAGTGCTATTAGGACTTAGCCATAAAGCCAGGCTAGTGGCTGAACTTCTTCCCTTCATCTTCAACTCAAGAGTGACCCCTAGATAAGGAGGGCTGTCCATCTTCAAATTCTGCATTATCCTTGAGGGAACGAAATAACATATCCAAAAAGTCTACCTCAGACAGGAACTGAAGAACTGTCCCAGATCAATCAATTTAGAAATGTGAGTAAGCCTACAGTTATTTCTTTCTTGCTTTAGAAATGGAGTGCTGGTTCTTTTAGAAATACCTTGAGTACTACCAGCAGAGTGGTTTCTTTTGTGTAAATATTACATGTAACTTAGCAAATTAAGAATTAAAAATAAGTAACTCTTCAAGGGAAACCAGGGAATATCAAGACTGTTTTGAGGATTTATATAAAAACCAACGCTGCAATCCTATACACAGTAACATGGGAGCAAGACCCACTGAACTCAGTAGGGCTTTCTCTGTGTGGAGATGAGTGAACATTTAAATACAAACTTAACTAAGCCACATTTTCTGAAAGAAGATGTGACCCAAAACACAGCCATCCTTCATAATTCACTTTTCTAATTTTGCAATGCTGTTGTCCAGCCACTTAATGTGTACAGAAATTCTTCTACAATATGAGTTGGATTCCCATCAGCCTCCACGAGCATGGCCAATAGTCAATAATATGAATTTTCAAAAAAGACAATTTCCCTTCGAACCAGATGTTAGAAACAAAGAAAAGTGAATAGATGCATCTGCATTGCTAGAGCATTGCATTTTTACTGAGTTATTATCCCACATCTGTAGACTTTTCTTTTTTCCATTCCCAAGGTAGAAGGCGGAGTTGGACCAGATCCTTATTTGGGTTGCCAAAAAAACATGGTGGTAACTAAAGCTTTCACCATACACCAAGTCCCTTTGGGATATAGTGTTAAATGAAAAAATATGTGTACATTTTGGAAATCTAAAAAGTGAGTAGGAGGAAATGTTTGCTGTTCTAGCTTTATTGGGATCTTAAAAGTCAGTTGGAAGGCAGTGAACAGGAAGTGGGGAAGCCTTTCTATTAACAAAGCTGGATATTAATTTGAAAGTGTGCTAGATAGCTAGTCAATTGAAGCCAAATAAGCTGATGCTTAGTGTTGTCCCTTTCTTACAATAATGTCTCATTGTGCCCTCTCCCTTAATTATGTCTCATGATAATTCAAAGCTGAGAGGAATTTTGCCAATAGGTGTGCTTCTAGAAAGCTAGTGGTGTAATAGCTAAAGTTCCAAACGTAACCTCACTTAACTTGTAGTAAGCCCCATTGAATCCAATAGGACTTACTTCTGAATAGACATTGTTAGGATGGTGCCATAAGAGCGTGAGGTGGACACCCTCTGGCTGAAGGTCTAGATCAATGTTTCCCATACTTGGGTCTCCAGCTGTTTTTGAACTACGATTCCCTTCATCCCTGACCACTAGTCCTGCTCGCTTGGGATGATGGAAGTTGTTGTCCAAAAACAACTGGAGACCCAAGTTTGGGAAACACTGGCCTGGATTCTATGCTATGTTAATTCAGCATTCAGTCCATCCAACAACATCAGTTTACAGAAGGAGAGTCTCGTGTCTCCTCCTGCACCCACTTGTGGCCTTGGAAGGCTTCTATGGAAGCTAAGGTGTGGGGAGAGTCCTGAACAATACAGGATGGAGTTCATGAGATGTGCATGGGGAAGGAGGGTACAGGCAATTTTCCTTCTGTGAGCTTCCTTTGCTTAACTTATTTAAGATGCAAGCGAATCTCACAAACCACTTCCTGGAAAGTCACTATTTCCTTAGTTCTCAGCCTTCTGTATGGATACTCAGCAAGTAATTATGGAGGACTGTTTCAGAGGGATGAGATTAAAAATGTATGTGAAGTACTAAGAACAGAAGAAGCGTCCTCCTGGTGGTGAGTCTCTTGAGTCCAGTCTCCAGTCTTCAGTCTCCACCAATGGTCAGGCGGGTCATTTCCAGGCAACCTCTTTACTGAGCATTCATCCTGGTTCATTTGCATAAAGTTGGTGGGAAAGATTAGACAGTGTTGGCTATTGACTAAGCATTCATTGTGATTTGTTTTGGGGGAGGTCATACAATGTTGCATCAAGCAAATATTATTCCACAATAAGCCCTTTCCTTATTGTCAGAAATCTGACGGTGGGGCAGGTTAGGTTTGTTGCACAAGAGAACCAAATCAAGTTTTAATTTCACAACCTGAATTTGTTGGCATATATTTGAATCCCACCCCCCAAACAGAGATAGTCTGGAAGCGCCCCCAGATGCCCCCAGGATACCCACAAGCAACCACCAAAACACTCTTTTGCCCCACCATCTATGATTCAAAGATATACTGCCTCGGTACATGGAGTTTCTTGTCAACCGTGCTTGGAAATGCATTGTATACATGTTAAGTGTTCTGCTAAAAAGATTAGTTCCTGTTACAAGCCTGGGGGACCTTAGCACCCCAACCCCAACTCAGTGTCTGGAGAACTACAGGTTTCACATCCCTGTTCTGTTGCCCCAATAATCTCTACACATCTTCATGCGGGGCTGAAGAAATAAAGATATCAAGGAAGCAATAAGGAATTCCACAGAAAGAAAAGGCCAGTTGCTCTGGACATTGTCAGCTTGTCATCATCAGCTCAAAAGTGAGCGCATCACTGCCTGCTTTTCAGAGGGATGGTTGGTAACTGCAAGGCCTGCCAAACAGCAAGATACTTAAGCACCAAGTGTGGTGGTGACAAGCTGACATTCCCCAGAGTAAGTGTGAAGGCTCATGGTGGTGCCCACGGCTAAAAGACAGGCTGTAGTTCTACCAAAATAATGGTTATCCTAAATGTCAGTCATAAAGACAGCTCAGGGTACACATGCAAAAATAAAGGTTGCTGGGTGTTGCTCTCTTAAATGGGGACACACGCTCTATCTATCATCTATCTTTTGTTTGATTGTAATAAGTGGTTTACAAAAAAATCAACATAAACCAGCTAATTTCCATTCCTCTCACCAAACCTTTCTTTGGCAGGTCTGCTTAATCCTGAAGTCTCTATGTCCAAGCCATTTGTGCTACAGATGAACACAGGTTGCACTTGAATTCTTCTTGACCATATTCACTCTTTCTTGACCTGTATGTAGCACAAAGACTCAATTATTTTCAAATCTATCTATATCTATCTATCTATCTATCTATCTATCTATCTATCTATCTATCTCTATCATTCATCTTTTGCTTGATTGCAATAAGTGGTTTTGAGTGCTCACTGGAAGGACAGATCCTCATGAGCAGAGAAGACTCCCTGGAAAAGACCCTGATGTTGGGAAAGATTGAGGGCACAAGGAGAAGGGGACGACAGAGGACGAGATGGCTGGACAGTGTACTCGAAGCTACCAACATGAGTTTGACCAAACTGTGGTAGGCAGTGGAAGACAGGAGTGCCTAGCATGCTCTGGTTCGACTACATGGAGTTGGCGGAAATGACTGGCAGAATCCGAGACCAGGGAGAAGAGTCGGTGGAAGAAGATTGGAAGAAATTTAAAGACTATTTACAGAAATATTGCAAAATTAATGAATGTTAGAATGATGTTGGATTGAAGTTAAGTGGTTTCTAGCTGTACTGGTATAAAAGAATATGGAAAAATTGGTTTTTAATATGTAAAAATTTAATGTTATAATATATCAAGATTAAAGATTAGGATTAAAAAGGAGGGAAAGGAATTGCTGGATTAACAAATTGAATTGGAATACAAAAGAGGGAGGTATGAGGAGGTCCGGGAAACAAGTAAACGTAAAAGAAGTGATGAAAAGATGGAATTGTTTTTAACTGTTTTTTCTTCTTTGTATTTTGTATTTTTCCTTTTTATTGTTAATTTTCTCATTAATGTGATTTTTTCTTTTTTTGAAATTTTAATAAATATTATTTTTTTAAAAAAGCATGCTCTGGTTCATGGGGTCACAAAGAGTCGGACACGACTAAACGACTAAACAACAACAACAATAAGTGGTTTACAAAAGAATCAACATAAAACAGTTAAAAACAGATATATAAAACGTTCAAAAGATAATTGACCTGCATTTGCCAAGGTAATGTGAATACTTGAGTAGGGCAACTTTTGAAGGAGAAAATTGGAAGATGGGGGGGGGGGGGGAGTGCTTCATTCTTCCTTTGTGTATTGAATGACTCCTGAAAATCTTTGCCAACATTGGTTTTCACAGTCCCAGAGGCTGACTTGCAGGTAGGTGGGCAGGTTAAAAAAAAAAAAGTGGTGGTAGAGCAGGGAAGAACTAGCATGTTTAATTAGTCCTAGACTCACTCTCCCAAGACTCATCCCCTGCACCCCCTCTCTACTGGAAGCATCACCTCACAATTCCTGCATTAGTGCTGCAAGAGAAATACAGAAACCGGAACTCTGTGTTCATCTTATAAAATGGCAGTTTTGCCCTTAGCTTCCCTTAAATGTGATTTTTTTTTTCATTTTAAATGCAGGATTCTGTACATTTCCCATGCTGGTTGGATTAAACATATTCTTAAACTTTTCAGATCTGGGGAAGTCCTAGAGCATGCAAACTATGATTAGAATTCCAGTTTATGGAAGATCATTGACTGCCAGGCTTTATTGAAAACCTGATGACTCACAATGAGCTGGAAAGGCTGTGGGCTGGTTTTCTTTTTTTCTTTTTAGTTGGGCATAGCATACAACAGTTTGGGAAGAAGAGAGGGAGCAATAAGGGGAAATAAAGTACCTGTTTATTTGGTAACTTGTAGTAATGGAGCATTATTGAATAATCACCCATGTCAAAAACTCCCTGCTGGGGAACGCTAGTCTGCCAGAAAAAAGTATAGCCTTCTCTCTATTATGCTAGTATACTATGTTCAATTTTAAAAACAGCAACAACAAAAACCCTTATGGGAATATTTGATCATGCAACACATACCTTTTCACCTCTTTGGCTATGCCTCAGTTTTCTCACTCTGACTTGGCTTTGTGACATCATCATGTTGTCGAGTTTGATTGACTGCATGGTGTTATTGCAAAGCCAAGTCAGAGCAAGGGCAGAATGCTTTCAGAATCTTTAGCTATCTGCATATCTGCTTCTAAGTTCTAAGAAAAAGTGAGGGTGGGAGGGTTTTATCAGGAATTTCAAAGGAAGTAGAAAGGGTTTCAACACACGAAGTGGTTCAGTCATCCAAGGGTAATACTGCAAAAAACTTCTGAATGTGTAGTTGCTGCAAAAGTTAAATATAAGTTGAAGAGAATCAGATTAGACAGACACATATTTTATAAGCACCTTTCAGGCAATATGGAGATGACTGTGATCTACCCTAATAAAACATCTGGAGTTCTTTCACCTCAACCTTTAAGAAGTGGTTTGTAGCTTCTCAGCTCCTATTATCCTAGAACAAAGAGATCTTGATGAACTACCATTGTTGTGAACAAATTCTCTTTTCGCTTGTAATGGCGTCCTGTACAAATGCCACTTTCTTTTGGAAATAATTGCTAGCAAATGACTGAAAACAATGGCTTCCTTTTGCAGTTCTTATGGAGATGTGAAACGGTGATATCACTTCATAACTAGGAACATGATGAATTGTTTCCTTGAGGTTTATGAATCACTTCTTTGGTTGTGACCTCCATAATAGACTACAAACCAAATGCCAACTTCAGAAATAACCATTTTGGTTGTTACCATTACTCAGAAACAAACACCATAGCTTACTTTTATTGGCTAATAATGTGAAAAACCCAAACGTTTAACAGAAAATAAATAAATAGGTTAGGTAGGAGATTCTGCCAATCTAAGACACAGAGATTTTCAGAGACCCATTTGAATGTTTGTGTCAGACCAGTGACTTCCTGAGTAACTTCCTCCTGAGTTTTCCTGGTGTAATGGGAGTATTGCAGGACGGGGGGAACTGCACACATTACAGAGGAATGCACAAATTTGTCACTGAGTGTGTGCTCTACAGGGATATGTAGCTCATCGTGAATCCCTGATGAATGTACCTTGATTATATACTGCACACAGGTAGGTTTGCACTTTGCTATTGTAGGAGTACACTTGCAGCATCTAGGGTCCATGGCTTGCATTGCAAACTTGCATTGCAAACTTTTTTGCTGCAAAAGGGGGAGTTTTGGAGATGTGGCTTAAAAGTTTCAAAGATAATTTCCCCTTCTTCATCTAAGTGGCTTTTTAGCTTTTATTTTTTCTTCTGTCTTTAGCTGTGCTAGAATGATGGTGAAAAGTTTTGTTCTTACTCTGATTTGGCTCTGTGACATCAGGTAGTCTAGGCATAGTAAGCGTGGTGCCCTGTAGAGGTTGTTGGACAAAAACTCCCATCATCCCTGACCGCAGGCCATGCCAGCTGGGGCTGATGGAAGCTGGAGTTCAACAATATCAGGATGGCATCACGTTGGCTACCTCTGACTAGTCAGACCTTATTTACTATGTAGGGTCACCATCACAAAGCCAAGTCAGAGAGAGGGTAGTGCTTGCTGCCCTCGCTCTACTGCTGTGCAGACACAGGAAAATAATTTCCCTGATCAATAATATGGCGTATTGACACTGTCACTACCAAGGCTAAGATGGATGGCCATTTCATCCCTGTTTCCACCTCACCCCCCCAAAAAAAAAATCACCGAAACTTTCTTCAGCTTAGATGTAGTATACGTAAAAGCTGGCAGAAGAAGCAAAATATAGAGCAATGTGATTATAGCCACAAAAGAAAAACAAATCTGAGAAACAAGCAATGTCAAGGGCTGGCGATGTTGTGCTGTGGTATTTGGAGAAATGAAGCTATCAGTCCAGTCAGGAAAATCCACTTGTCTTGAACTGCTAGCATTGTGGTTGGCTGAGGGACTGAAATAAAACACACGCTTTCACAATTGTCTGCATGTGCTATCTGGTCTTTACTCAATGTGTATTTTGAGATTAGGGTGCTCAAAATTCTTTTGGAAATGTAAGGGGTTTGTTTGTCAGACTTGCCCAGTGTCAAACAATGAATCTGCAGTTCAATTGATATTAAAACAAATGTGGTTACTTTCCTTTCAAATATTGGTGGGCATGACTCAGACCGTGGAGGAGAAGCTGAGGTCAGGCCAGAAGCAGGATGTAGCCACATGTACAGATACACACACACACACACACACACACACACCTATATATACACATACAGTATATATATATCTCTCTCTCACTGGGCCAGATAGGAAAGAAGCCTTATCTGGAGAAGCTTCTAGCAACAGTTCACAAATTTTTATTTTTTATTTATTTTTTATTAAAAGAACTGTCTCACACTGTTAGCTGTGCTTTAGAATTGTTTTTATACCAAACCCCAACATATAAGGTTTATTCACCAGAATTAAATAGGCGACTCTCAGTACTCATTTATCATTTACAAAAGTAAAACTCAAACTGAAATCATTTTGGTAATTCAGGTATCCAAATTGCTTGCAGCAATTGTAGGATGACAGCAGTTCTGTCTGAAGTTTGGTTGATCCTACCCTGTGCTGAGGGAGTGGGGGGAACAGGAAAATTCATGATAGAAAAGTACATGCTTCTAGCAAATCTCAGTGGATGAAAGAATCTAGATTTTCCTTAGCATACAGCAAGGACGAAGAATGTGTTGTAAACCACACTGTGATCCTTGGATGAGGGGTGGCATAGAAATTCAATAACTAATTAACCAGCCAACTAACTAGCAAACTAACTAGCTAACTAACTAACTAACTAACTAATAGTCATATCTCATCATCCCTGACCATTGCCCATCCCTTTGCCAGGGATGCTGGTCTCCAATAACACCTGAAGGTCCACAGCTTTCTCATCCCTGGAGGAAGACCTCAGTTTGTGATGTCGCTGACTGCTGCAGCCCTTGTTTCTTTTCTCTCACCCCTTTCTCTTGTTCGGTCTCTTCTCTCCCCCCCCCCCTTCTGCCCACTTAAGTTTTTATAAAATTGGTGGATCATTTCCTAACTATGCAGTGGATCTGGAGGCTCAAATGGCTGTTTGAAAGGTCTGTGTTGTTTGTTCGTTGTTGTTTTCCCAGCAACTATCATCAGTCAAACATTGTGTTGTTCCAGCAGCACTTCTCATTTAGCCGGGAGGAATAGCTTTAGGATTGCTAAGTGTCTGGAGGGTGTTGGCTACTAAGACATGTTTTTTAAGCAGGCCATAATAGTTTCTACAGCTGTTAACAGTTCCTAGAAGAAAGGCTGCATTATTCGCCTGTGTTTAAAATGTGCATGACTGGCATTGCACAGAAGTCAGATTGGGAGAATGTCATACCCCCCCCCCCTTTCTAATTTATGTTTTGGGAAACTTGGCCAGGAAAGACTTCAATAACTAGAGAAATTCTTTTCAATCAACATGTGGTACATTGTATTGTTATAATTGCTCAGACCTCACCATGAAAGTTGTCTTTGTATGTGTAGATGTACAATCTGTACTGTTTTGTTTTTTATTTATTCTGCATTCTTTATTCTAATGTGTGTTCTTCTCCTTTTTTTCCTTCCAGGCCAGAAAGATTGTTATTGAGCTCTGCACAAAGCTGAAATAATGCTGTGTGTTAAAAAATGTGAAGAATTTGAAAAAGTTATAAAAATTTATAAGTTGGCTCGATGCTGAGGAAATTTCTGCATATTTTAATATAAATAGGTAATGCAAATATTTGTTCTGTGCGTTCAGAGATGCTCTCTGTTTTCCAAAAGTACTGGTATTTAGTTCTGATTCCGATAAAGCAGTTGCAGTTCATTTTCGCTGTTGATTAATGACCAAAATGAATGTCATTCCAAAAGTCATAGCACTGATATGGTTAATTGCATAAAGTACAGCAGTGAAGTGCAAAACAGAGAATAGTTTCAATGTGCAAACAGATTCGCTGTGTACAATTGACATCTACCAACGTTAGGGCCGGCACTATGCAGGCTTAAGAGGCAGCAGCTTGAGGGCAGTACACTTAAAAGGACACCTGCAGTGCTACATGAACTCTACATGAATCAGCAGAGCAGCCCAGAGTCCTCAGTGACATCAAAGAGAGACCCAGAATGCACTTGCAGATTTCACAGAGATGCCCTGGCCTCATTTAGTAACGCTGGTAAAAGTTCTTGAGCTGGCCCTGACTTAAATGAATGGAAACCGTCCCATAGAATTCATGACAATTTGCGCTCATGATGGTATTGAGACTGTTATACTGTTGCATCTGTCAATGTTTCAGGGCGGGCTTACTGTTCATTGCAGGGCCCTTAGCTTTCTTCTGAAATCTTGTAATTTTTTATACCACATATGTTCCAGGCATGGTTTTCCCTCCACTTTGGTTGCACTATAGTGCAGGAGTAAAAGTTCCACATGGCAATAATGCAGTAACACTGGAGAAGCATAACTACCATATTGGCCTGGATATAAGCCTCACTTTCCCCCAAAATTCTGACTGTGAAAAGTTAAAGTGCTGCTTATATTCGCGACTGTACAGTATACAGCCAGGGGCGTGGGGCAAACAGCGCCAGGAGCGTGGCACTGGGGCGCCCACCCTGTGCATATTCCCCGTCCTCTCCCCCAAGGCCAGGAAGTGAGAGAGCGAGGAAGGGGAAAGGCCACCAGCAACGTAGTATGGCTCCCCTCCCCCCCAGTATGCAGCCAGGAGCAGTGAGGAATGGAGCGGCTTATATTCGGGTATTTTTTCTTTTTTCCTCCCCCCCTCCCAATTTTAAAGGTGCGGCTTATGTTCGGGTGTGGCTTATATTTGGATCAATACGGTAATACAGTGGAATGGTGTGTGGACAGTCTGGTATAAATCCACCATGATTATGCTATTATTGCATCAATCATAGAAACAGAATTGTAGAGCTGCACCCCTTGCCGGTGCATTTTCATTATAGATATATCAGTAGACAAGCATGACATTGGTGATGCACATTGACACAGCAGCTATAAAAATGGAGAGCCATTAAGCGGAAATCATAGCCGATTTAAGAGGTACACAACTAAAAACGTAATGGGAGCTAGATCTGGAATGAGGAAGTAGGAGTTGTGAGTAAACATGACAAGAGACAGTATAGATCTGGGCCACAATTTCTCAGGAAATAATGTTCTGATAACTTTTCTGGGAATTTTCTTAGTCACCTCTTGAATGTTTTTGAATATTCTAGGACAATAATACCACCACCACCTTTTGCTGTCCATAAATGTGGTGAAGAATTTTGAGAATTTGTTTTGTGCAAATCTGAGAGATCAAAAGAATCTCCCTCTCTCCCTGTCTGATTGAAGAGTGCCAAGAATAGTTACATACACAGCTGGAAAAGAAATGGAAGGTTTGAGGAAGCAATGGGCAAGGAAATTTGAGTAGCAGAAAGTGACAACTGAGCCACTCTTCTAAAAACAATGAAACAAATCTCTCCTTTGAAGGGTAACACTGTGACCTCAAGTGGGGTACTCTGGAGCTCAATTTGCCCAAAGAGGGCCAGGCCACCCATGTGGCAAGGTGATGTGAGTGCCTTAGGCAGCAGGATCCACAGGGGCAGCAGATCTGAGATATGAAGAACTACAGAAGGGAGAAAGGGGAAGTCCTGTTGTGCAAGCAGAAGTCTGTTCCACTGGTAGACAGACACAGATATCACCCAGTATCACCTAGTTTGTTTGTGCTAAGCCACGGTTTAATAAACAATTGCTTCTTAAAGCATGACTTAGTGTAACTCTGGTTTGTTTATTGCCACCAAATCCATGGCTTACAAACTTTGGTTTGTTTTAAGTTTTTAACTATGGCTTGGCATTATGTGTGAACACAAGCAGCCTTCCTTAACCATGGTTTGTTTGGCCACTCTATTGCAGATGCTTGCCAAGCTACAAAGGCAAGAACAGATGGAAAACAAACATAATTTGGAGAAGCAAGCTATGGTTTGTTGATCATCCATTAGACAACTCATGGTTAACCACAAACCATGGCTTAGAATAATGTGAAAGCCAGGCTAAAGTCTCAGGACTGGGAGATCAGACAACCTAGAATCCTAGAACTGTGGAGCTGGAAGGGACCCAAAGGATCATGGGAACTTGTGCCATTAAACAACTGTTTTGTTCTGTTACTAATACATATTCCGCACCCTTTTTTCCTGGATTCATAATTAAGTGTGCACATTTCCTTCCACCTCATTTGATTCTTTTTTCATTTGTTGGGGTTTTAGTCCTTTGTAATTTCCTAGTAGTGAGTTAGCGATTGAGTGGGCTGGTTGTTGGTCTTGTGGCTGGAGAAGTTCATCACATTCTTGAAATGGAAAAAAAGTTCTGTTAACAGTAACATAAAAGAGAACTTCTCTCCAGCAGTGAAAAAGGAGAAGGAAACGGTTACTAGGACTAGAGTGATTTTCGTTTCTAAATTTGTCTCTTCCTCGGAAATGTCCCTACAATTCTTTCAATATAATACACCCCCCCCAAGCTAAGCTTATTTCTGATCTTAGAGTCTGACAGCTGACGTGGGGTAGGGATTGAAGCAAAGGACATTCCATTGCAGATTTCCCTGCCCCCCTAAATAGCAGGCAGTGAAGGGGGGGGAACGTGCAATGAGATAAGATCACATCACTGCTTTGGCTTACTAAATGTTACAAAAGAGAGCAGAAGAATAGAAGTGGGGACACAGGTTGCAGTAGTCGCATATCAGCCACCATGTGTTGTTCCAGCATTAGGCTTCAGTTGAGATCCAATGCTTCTAGATCATGATGCACGTACGTCTTCCAAAAAACTACAAGATGCCTAGAAATGCCACCAGCTTGTGATCGGATCCTGTTCTGCTATAAATGCTAACACAGTGTTTCCCACAGTGAGTGATACTGCCCCCTGGGAGGTGCTGGAACAATTTGGTGGGTGGTAGTAGCAGCCTCTGGTGAAATTGGGGGGTACTGAATAAAAATAAGGAGGCAGTGGAAGCAAAAAGAAATAAGAGAAGAAAATTTTGAAAAACCGTTTGTACATGTTTCATCTGTTGTATAATGACGCTTACCTATGTAACGTGGAGTTAAAGTCGTAGTGATTACTTTATTTTCCAAAGAAACACACAAAGTGCAAGTTAAAACCAATCAGTGGTCAAGTCCGCTGACACAAATTTGTCACTGCATCTTTTCTGTTTGCTCACTTAGAGAAGGTAGATTTCCGGGGGGGGGGGGTGCTGAGTACTTTTTTTTTCCTGAAAAGGGGACAGTACAGTAGGCCAACTAAGTTTAGGAACCTCTGTGCTAACACATCACAATGAGAAGTAACAGTCAACCTTAGCTAAGATACAGCAGTTGTAAAACTGCAGTTGAAGTGGGTGCTGAGAAGCACCGTGCATTTTCAAAACTGAATGATGTAAGTTTGATTTTGTACAAAATACAAAATTAGGCACGTCCCTCTGATACAGGTCTGGCCTTCTTTGAAGCATCTCATGTACCATGCATCCTTGTTTTGTACAGTGTCAGTTAAGCATCATTCGCTGTAATGCGTAAATGATGAAACCCCAGAGAGAGTTTAATAGTGAAATGCAGAGTCGACACTGAATTGCAGTCATGGAAAATGGCATCGCTGATTCAGTAACGAGCAACAAAAAATACCTACATTGTGTCTTCTGCATGAGCTACTGAAATAGGTGGGGTGATTGGAAAACACCAACAGAGTAATCAGCTGTCTCTTTCTATTTTGATGACAATGGGATGCAGGGACTGTCCCTTTCTTGAGTTTCTGACTTGGTTGGGTAGCCAGCCATATTTAACTAACTGTAATATTCACCCCATTTCTCCAACTGGCAAAAAGTTCCAGGCATGCAGCACTTACCCAAGTTAGATTTCCTTTGGTACGAAGTCGCTGGAGACTTATTATTATTTTGTAATTGAGTATTATTTGAGCACAGGTGGAGACACAGCTTAAACAATCCAACAGGCAGCCAAAGACAGCCAGCAACACCCTCAGGTGCTTCCACAGAGCCCAAACTTAGTTTTCTGTTTCTCTGCCTCACTCAGAATTGTGATATTTCTTCACACGCAGGTACTTAGATATCATCTTTAGTTGGGAGCAAGGAAAGTCTTCCTCCTGCCCCTTTTGAAGCATTTCTTTTCCATTCAGGGTGAAAACTACCTAACCATCAATTCATATGGGAACACATGGCAGGGCTTTGAACATTTTTGTCAAGCCCAGAGCAGAGATGGAAAGCCTGTGGCCGACTCCATATATTGTTGGACACACACACACGCACACCATCATCAGCCTAAGACAGCATGGCCATTGATCAGGGATGATAGGAGTTTGTCGTCCACCAATACTTGGAGACTCAAAGGTTTCACCTCTCTGCCTTAGTCTGGATAGCTCAGCTGGTAGAACCTCTCAGGGTTGTGTGTTCAAGCCCCATGTTGGGCAAAAGATTGCTGCGTTGCAGAGGGTTGACATAGATGGCCCTCGGGGTCCCTTCCAACTCTACAGTCCTGTGATTCTGTGAACTCACACTGATAATACTGCTTACAAAAAGCCTGATAGGAAACCCATAGCGGTACAAAATAAACATGGGTTATATGTTATACACTAGTGAGAGGCCTGTCACTAGGATGGATGAACCTGTCTGGAAACAGTGTTTCTATATTGCAAGAACCCTTGGGTCTGTAGGTGTGCAATGTGCAGGATGCTCTCTCTCTCTCTCTCTCTCACACACACACACACCTGACCTACACACTCCAAGCCATTGCGCCAGCATTGGAACACAACACTATTCCCAAGTGCTGCAGTTTAATTTTCCTTATAGGGCTGAAGGGCAACAATTCACATAAAGGGTGAATGTAAGAGGCCAGAGTGGAACTGTATTTGGGGAAGCCATTAGCTTGGAGCTAAATCTGCACTCTTCCCCTGGTAACCCCAGCTACAGAAGATCAAACTTGCTCCCCAGTAGCAATTGGTAGGGCACCACCAGCACTCAGCTGACCTCCTGTCACCTATGTCACTGCAGCTCAATGGGAGGCGGGCAGGGGAAGGCAAGGGGGCAGTGAGGTGGGTGCTGTGCAAATGCCCTGGCGAGAGCACCTCTGGGCGATTCACCCCCCACTACTGCTGCTCCCATCTCATGACCAAGGAGGATCAGAGGCTTTGTGGGGCCCAGTAGAAGACCTATGGGGCACCATTGCACCTGTGGGTGCCATGCTGGTGACCCCTAATTTAAGGCCCACACCAGAACTAGGATGCCTGCAAAGTTCTAAACATGAGATGACAGCACCACACCAAATATCTGGGTTGTGGAGAGTGGGGTGAGGTGTGTGAGAGAGGCTGGGGGGCACACGGGGTCTGAGTGGACTGTATCACTGCAGCTGTGTAAGCCTGTGAGATGCTGACCACTACTGTCACATTTCTGCTGCTGGTGCCTAATCAGGTAATATCTACTGTGGGTCAACAGCTAGAAGTTCCAGAAAATAATTTATCCCTCCCCAATCTGGGTCAAGCCTTAGAGCCATTTGTCTGAATCTGGGCTAGCTTGCTTTGCCATGGTCATGCTGTTTCCAATCTGATGGTATTTTGATCTCAGGGAGAGATCAATTGCATTTTTATGCCTTTAAAATACCATCTTTTTTTGAAAATTTTACTTTTTCTGCAGCATTGCCCCCAGGACTTTGAGACAGAAGTCTATGACCCTTCACAGAAAAGTGAGCAGGGGGCTTTCCAAATAAAGCCCTCAACTGCCCCTCCCCTTATAAGACCCTTACATTGAGTGGTTAAAATGATCAGCTGCACCACAGCCTCCATCCCAGTCCACACAAGGGCACTTATAGCAGCCTGGGAACCATATCAAAATAAAGAAATATAACTATAAAAGAATTTATAAAAAATCATAAAATAACCTGAGTTCTGAAAAATAGCATCAGCTAACATCTGCCAGTGCAAGAACTTTGTTTGCCAGTATCATAAAGATCCCTGATGCGCTAGGAAGAGGCTGGCCAATTAGGGAGCTGGTGTCCCTGAATGCTGAGGCCAAACCATCTGCTTCCTTCTTTCTCCATTGTCCCCTTTGGTTGCCCCCTCGTCTCTTGAGTCATCCTGAGTGAGAAAGTTGCTCATTCCTCTTACAACACCAAGGATCGACACACCATCGCCTCGGTTCCTTCTCCTCCCGCCCCATAGCGAATGACTAATGCCTGTGTGATTGAGTAGCAGTCAACCAGTTGGCCTGGCAAAAATGTCTGAAAGTTCTCAGAGTTAGAATCACTTTCCATCATGTGCCAAACAAGCCAAGAACAAGGCTTGTGATTGTGTTACAGCGATGCTACTGCTCTCTGGGCCATGCAGGGGTGGATTTAGGGCTGAGTGTGTGGTGTGCATGAACTGGGCACTGAGCCAAGGGCACACCGGGATGCATCTCAGCCCAGTAAGTGAGGTGCTGGGCTTTGGGAAGGAGGCATGAGACTCTGGCAGGGTCCTGGAGTCCTCCCATCTCCTTCCCAAAGCCTAGTTAGTACTTTCCTAGCTTTGGGATAGTTCTAGGAGCCTGGGGCCTCCTTCCCAAAGCATAGGCCAGGGGTCAGCAAACTTTTTCAGCCAGTCCACTGTCCCTCAGACCTTGTGGGGGGCCAGACTATATTTTTTGGGGGGGGGGGGAATGAACGAATTCCTATGCCCCACAAATAACCCAGACGTGCATTTTAAATAAACGGACACATTTTATTCACGTAAAAACACACTGATTCCTGGACCATCCACAGGCTGGATTTAGAAGGCGATTGGGCCAGATCCGGCCCCCGGGCCTTAGTTTGCCTACCCATGGCATAGGGCCTCCTTACCCTCCTTTGGGAAGGCAGTGCAAGGGCTGGAGGAGGGTGCCAAATTTTGGTTTTGCACAGGGTTCCATAGTACCTACTGGCCCATGCATTCTGGGTGAGGATGGTTGAAGTAATGTGAAAGCAGGTTACAGTACTGTATAGGGTCCTGCTTTAGTAGGACACAACATTGCTGGGCCAGACAGTCTTCAGGCTGCCAAGATTATGATCTTCGAAAAGATCAGAATTACCGGTATGCTACGGTGATTCTAATCCCTGTTAGCGAGTGTGGCTATCTCAGGACAAGCATGCATTATGTACTAGTGGCAATGGCATAGCCATTTCCGATTTGAAAATAAGGGATCAGCAGCTTCGAAAATAAGGGATCAGCAGCCTCACCAGTCTACAGGATATCGAACAATACGGGATAGCAGCGGGAAGCAGCGGGAAACGGTGCTGAAATAAGGGAATTTCCCACAAAAAAAGGGAAGGTTGACAGTTATGGGCAATGGCATCTGGCTAGGCGAAGGTGAGACAAAAACCTGCCGTTTAAAGAATTCTGGGAGGTGCTTGTTTGAGTAGCACACAG